CAAAGTTGCAGCTTGGCTGTGTGCAACCTTGCAGCACACGTTTCTTTTCAGTGTAAACTCCTGTTTAAACTTCACTGGTTATGAGATTGGGACACAGCGTCTGTCTCCTGTTCTTCTAACATCGGTCAGTCCTACCTGCGCCCAGTTTGCTGTGTCGTTTCTTTTCTACTTTCCCTAAATGCAACTTACTTTAAGCATGCATCAACATCCTGCAGTACAACTAAAACGAAACCAAAGGAGAGTTCTAATAACAACCCATTTTCAGCCAGTACCATCTCTCTCCGATGTACACCCAGACTGCACGGCCGGTTCATGTTTAAAAACTAACATTACAAATAGATTTGTCATCAAGAAACACACGAGAGAGGAGCCCGTCGTCCAGTCGAGCACCTTTCTCAGCAGTGTCTGTTTTCTATTGTGTGCATCTGGTTGTAGTGTGTGCAAAATTTTAAATGGCTTCGTTCTTCCATCTTAACATTTTTCATTTGATAGTTTTTAACTGGTCATATTTTTGGTAGTTTATCCAATTGGTTTTGAATATGTTTTTGGCTTTACAAGTCTGTTTTCTATTCTTTTATGGTTTTTCTTTTTGAAATCAGATAATACATAAATTACTATTTTGTGAACAATTTCCATATAATTTAACTTTTTGGGCTTTGGAACTCCTTCACAGCGACTAGCTTGTGTGTTTTACTTTCAGCACTAAGCTCTCCTAAGTCACAATGAAAGCAACATTCAAAAGATGGCAAAAAAGTCCGACTTGTTTGAACCTGTTCAGAAACTCACAAATTAGTAGGTGAAGCAGTTCCACATCCACTTGTCACATTTCTTCCATTTTTCAGATTTTTTACAATCTTTTTACACAAAAAAGAGGGAAAAAAAAGAAAGAAAGAATATTTTGACTGTAATGAAACAAACAAACAAACAAACGAATGAATTGCATGGCTAAGAAGTTGCAGTTTAGGGTTTGTGAGACATGTCAGTGTTAGAGTTTTTCTGTTCTTTTCTGTAGATGGGCATGTATATTGCTCATTGTTTGTATATCCCCATCCCTTCCTTACAGCCCAAAGCTCTAATGCCGCCCGACCGCTTCGTACTGCCTTTACATGGACATGGCAACTGACTTACACTGTCACCCTCATCATCCTCATTTCCTATGTAATATGTTCGTAGGTCCCAATCCCTCTTCACCCTTTCCCTTGTCTTTAGAGATTTTACAATATAAAGTCATCCATCCATTCTAAAGAACATATGTCAAATTAAGCAAAAACTATAACATGAATAGATTTTAGGTGTCACTGAAGTCTCTTGCAATGAAAAAAAGATACACAGATTTTTTTGTACAAAACAACTTATTTACCAGGAAAAAACAAAAGATAAAAAACAGTATTATGGTGTTTATTTTTTATGTTATGTGGTGTGGTTGTATGTGTTGTTGCCTCCCTGTACCGTCACGTTTTAAGATAGAACACAATCTACAATGGATAAAAATGACCTTTAACAGTGGCTATCCAACAGTCTTACCCAACTTTTCCTTTGTAAATTCTTTTCCTCATGCCTAACTCACGTGGGCAATTTGTTGATGTAAGTTGACGATATCCAGTCTGTACGTTTTCTCCTTGCACTGATTTTCAAAGATGCAGTTTGTAAAATGTGAGGCTTTTCCCAATGTTTCATTTTAGGTGTGTCAGACTACTGGCAAGGTGACATTTTACATTAATATACTCGGAATTAGCTGCTTTCTTCCATCCGTATTAGTAGCTTACTGGCTCTTTCAAATTTCCCACGTGTGGCATTAATAAAGGTTATCCTATCTTAGTCATTTTAAAGAGTTTATTCGTTTCTTATTCTGCATTACAGTATCGATCAGCTGTTATGCCGGCACTTGCTCTCAGAGACCTTTCGATATATATCCTTTAGGGATATCAGTAAATTAAGCTATGACAACAGTATCATACAGGTGTGAATAGTGTCTGTTCCAGAAAGCCATATTGGATTGTTATTTTGATGCCCCGTAAAAGCCACTTATACTTGTTAACATGCAACACACACAGTTAGACTGACATAACATGACGTGACATGAAAGACTGCCTTTCATTAACAGTTTAGGCTCACACCAGTTTGTTTGATGAAGTAAAACCCTTCAGATATCTTAAACAAAAAGTAACAAGCCTGTTTTGAAAATGTGGAAAGTGTTCAGAAATGTTTCAGAGGAATAAATACTCAAGTACAGTAACAAAATGGTATACTTTATTACTTCTCACGTCTGGATAGAGTCAAAGCATTAGGTTCACATTAGTGTAAATTTCCCTTTTTGGTTAATATCCTCGCGGTTGTAGAATACTTTCATGCAGAATAAGCGTTAATACATTTAAAATGACTCTTAAAATGCAGGTATTGTACTACTACTCATCCAAAGAAATAACTGATTAGTGGTGAATATGTGTATGTAATATATATACAGTAGTAACACTTTTTAGAAGCTAATGATCTTAAGGACAGGTTTTGGTTTTAAAATCTTGCAAACTGCATCTCTTAACCCTGGATATGTTTTATAGAAATGATCATCTTAAATTTTGTGCTTGTGGATGTTGTGTTTGTGATTATTTGTGAGTTGCATACTTGCTGCTTTTAGTTGACATCTAATTTGGTATGTGCATCAACAACTGTATACAGGTGCTCTACTGCATGGAGACTTTTTATGTCAGTGTAACAGTCGCATTTTCGATGTTTACTCCGACTGTTGCCAGCTTGAGATTACAGACTATGATAAGTACATCAAACTCTTTTATACAAAGTGTAAAATATTATCAGTCCTATTTTTGTACAAATTCAATTCTGCAAATGTTGGGATGCTGTATGAAATGTAACTACAAACAGAATGCAATGATTTGCAACAACAACAATGAAAAACAAACAAACAAACAGTTTAAACTGGCATTTTCCTTCTTCTTTCTAATACTAACACCTCAGGTTAGTTTAAATACCTCAGGTCTGCTCACTGATCCTCACCCCACTTTGTAGCTGAGCTTCATCAGCTCGTTCTTGAAAATTGGTACACCATTTCAAAACGTGCAAGGTGTGTGGTCACTGACTTGTTGAAATAAGCAAGACTTCCTGTAATAAATATTGCCTGGTTGATGCCATACCTTGTAAACATGTTTACAGTGCGAGTAACCAATGCCAATGCCTGCACAATCACAAATGCTGGCTTTTAGCTGTGCTTGATAACAAGCTAGATGGCCTCTCTCTCCAAAAACAACTGTTAAGCAGTCAGGCCAGAGCACAGTTTTCCACTTTGCATTTATTTCAAATGAGTGTGGGCCCAAGACAGTCATTTACATACACAGTCATATGTTACTTGATAACCTGATTAGGTGTTTTTGTTTCGTTTTTTGTTGTTGTTCAACAACTTTTCCAATCTTGAAGTGCATGAAATTCAAAGTGAATATTTTAATATACTATAAATAATTTGCAAATCATTGTACTGTGTTTTTATTTAGATTTTTCAGCCTTTCCCAATGTTTTCAGGAGGAAATATAGTGGCATCATCTGTTTTATCAAAATTATTTTTATTGCATGTGCGATAAAATGATTTTGGCTTGATATATCAGTTTACCTTACTTTCTTTAGGAAAAAAACTGTATCTTATAAAACGACTCAACTAAATATGATTTAAGTAATTTGCATTTAGCACAATTTAGCATGACAAAATGTAATGGATTACATCTGAGGACCGGAGAGTTTGTTAAATGTGGTTAGTAAGTAGGGATGGGTATCGTTTAGGTTTTATCCGATACCGGTGCTTAAACGGTGCTCGAATCGGTGCTTAAACAATGGAAAAAACACAAACTTTGTCCAAAACCCTCTCATGTTTAGCTGTTTCCTACTTTTTCTTTGGTCATTTTAGCCTTTTTGGCCAGGGTGAAGGGAGCATCTGCCATCAAACAAGAGGACAGCCGCATGTAACTATGACGGTGTTTGCTAGTTCACCTTACATGCATTAATGTAATAACGTGGTTAGCCTACTCAACGTAAATTACACACCAACAACATTAAGCTACTCACGCAGAGAAGAACGGCTGCTGCTGCATCATCATCAGTCATCATTTCTGCTACACTGGCAGGGCTAGGGGCCAGGACTCTCCTCTTCGGATTCTTGGGAGATGTTGCTAACTCCGGGTCCGATAACAGGCACCACACCCGCACTCAAGCTATCAAATACGGCGCATTTCTCGGCTTTTAACAAAACGCTATACATCGCCAGGTGTTTCATCAGATTCGAGGTGTTACCTCCTTTGCACAGTATCACCTTAAAGCACTTGTTGCAGGGTGCTGAGTCTGCATCGTTTGCTGTGAAGTACAGCCAGACTTTGACCGCTTCGCCTTGGGCATTTTTAATCTGTAGCTCTGCTCTAAAAGAACGTACATACCTGGGCCTGCCTACTACGCTTGCAAAGGTAAAATGATTGGCTAGAATCTAAAGTGTATGACGTCTCAGGGAAAAAAAAGCACCGAAATAAAGCATCGAAATAAAGCACCGAAATAAAGCATCGAAATGTGCGCTGGTTTTTGGTCTGGTTACTACCGTTTATGTCAGAACCGGTGCCATCATGGCACCGGATACCGGTACCCATCCCTATTAGTAAGTGGATCATTTCTCTCCATTGACAGAAATCACCCTTAGGACACATTATTAACGGTATCTTCTATGTATATGCGTCAAACAGCACCTACCTGCTCTTGTTGCAGAAATAACTTGTTCTTCAGTTTGTTAAATAAAGATAGATAAGTCATGCATTTTTACTTCCTTTGGAACTTAGAGCAGGATTCAAAGATAAATGTGCATCACTTTTGACTGATTTATTAGAAACCGATATGCCAAGTCATGATCATTGATTTGAGATGAGGTGTTGTGAGTCCAGGTGTGTCAAATGCATTGCACTGTCTTAATAAAACGTTGCCCTCTAACGTGTCTACATGTGTGTCTCTAACCCCAGGAGATGAGTTAGTCGTCAAAATACTTGAGGATCCATTAGTGCACCCCTCTGTAGCTCCTTGTACACCCTTCATTCCCACTCCCTCAACCCACCACCCACTCCTCACCATTTTGAGACCACCAAAGAGTCCCTGTCCAAGGCCACTGAGGCGGGGCTACCTTGCTTGTCGGACCGAGGCAGCGATGATTGTGATGATGATGGCTTGGTGATATCGGGGTATGGCTCTGGGAAAGCGTTCAAGTCTAAGCTGCCACCCTACTGATGATGAAGATTTTTACTCAACCTTCTTCTTGGTAACAGATAAGACCTTGTCCACGTCAGGCTTTCAAGGTGACTACAAAGCAAATGCAACCAAGACTTTTATACGTAACAAACCTTCCATCTCCAGACGCAGTAGGACTACCACTATCGCCATAGCACGAACCGCCGACCAGAGCCGCACCACCACCACCTCTGCCTCCACCGCAACCCTCCAAACAGCCAGCTGGCAAAACGAATAACCGCGAGCTAAAACCCCGGCCCGACCTAGCGTTGCTTCCATTGCCCACATCCTTTGAGGTAGACAGCACCAAGCTGAGGGGCCCATTAATAACCTCCCCAATGTTCCGTAATATACCCACAGCACTTCCCACAGAGCCAGGCGTCAGGCGAGTTCCAGGGCCCTCGGAAGTGGTCCGCGAATCTAGCAGCACCACCGGGATGGTCATCGGAATAGTGGCGGCCGCTGCCCTGTGCATCCTCATCCTTCTATATGCCATGTATAAGTACAGGAACAGGGATGAAGGCTCCTACCAGGTGGACGAGAGCAGGAACTACATAACCAACTCGGCTGTGCAGAGCAATGGCGCTGTCATGAAGGACAAACAGCAAAGCTTGAAAGGCAGCAACAAGAGACAGAAAAACAAGGATAAGGAGTATTATGTGTGACTGTGAGACTTTCGTGTACACGAGAGAGCGAAGAAAGAGAGCACTAAGAGAACTTTTACTTATCAGTTTCCTCGTGAGGAGCTATGACAAATGATGGTATAATATGGAACTTGAAAATTCTTATACTGTGCTGAGTAGTTGAACTGATGATATGTACTGTAACATAAAGCACACTTACTATTAAGCAAAAGCTTAATGACAAGGTTAAATAGCAACTTTAGAGACCTTACTCTTCTATCTGGTCAGAGACATTATTGGTAGAGAAATACTTCACAGCATCATTCTCCTAAGTGACTTTTAGAGCTACGTGATCCTTGGCATTAAACAATTTTTTGTGAAATTGTTAATTACAAAAGGCTCATAAAATTACACATTTTCAGCATGTAAACAACATAGTGCTTAACAAGAGGGGGTCAGGCACACAATGGTTGTAAAAATAAAGGACTCTTGTATCAAAATATTACCAATTTTTATGGTTTATAAATAAGTGCTGTGTCTTAACTATTTTTGCTCCAGGCTAATGAGAAACCAACAAAAGAACAGCAAGAAAAGAAAATGATTTCTGTGTATAAACTAACGGAGAGGGCATACCTCAGAACACAATTATTCTCATTGTCTGGCTGACACAGTGAAGCTTTGTGGAGAGAGCTTGCCAGTTCTCTCGGTAAGAAACACGTGATTGTAAAATGCATGCCATCCTGATTCATATGGTATAGCACAAGTCCAGTATGCAGTGTTCGACTTGGACCACGTTCTCTTTAATGCACAAGCCAAAACGTCATCATTAGATTGGGACTTGCCCTGAGCCCCTGAAAACTGCTGAAAAATCTGCAAAAGAAAAAGGTCTAATATCGACGCATAGCTAGTGGTGGTCTTCTCTCTTTGCAAAATTGTGTGTTGGTTCATTGCGTATCATTCTCTTTTTTATGGAGGTGTCAGGAAGAAGACAAATGCAGTACTACAACACTGTTAACAAATGTGTATACAGAAATAAATCTAATGTTGAAAGTGTGAATTCTATCTGCTATTGCAGTCAACTGTGTCAAAAAAGAAGAAATTTGTTTACATATTTTATTACATGCTATCTGTTGTACTTTGTAGGTAGTAAATTGTACATATACCATGACAGTTGTAATTTTTAGTACCACTATTGTACAGACTAAACACATGGTTTATCAACAGATTTCATGAGAAATTTATTAACTGTTATTAATTTACATGGAGAAAGACTCTAACGAGAATGTGAAGAATCATATTGCTATTCATAAAGAATAAAATGTATTGTTAGCCTAGAAATCTAAAAAGAGATGTTTCTAAAGTTGCATGAATATTTAATTACTGTCCGACAAATACAACGTGCCCTTTCTTCTGTACCATGACTTTCTTGTTCTGGGTGACAGTACTGATTTGTTTAGTTTCATTTTAAGTTTTTTGGAGAGAACAACATCAGATTTATGACAAGGAGACAACAAAAGAATGGGCCTTCAAAGTTTGGAAAGACAAATTCTGTGGGACCATAAATCATTGCTTGATTGTCCTTTTATGTTTCCATTACCTGTCATTGTCATTAAGTCACCAGGTGCAGTCTTTTTCTTAGAAATCACATTTTTGTCACAATTGTTACTTTTCATAACCTTTTTCCATCAGTTTGATAACAAATAAAACTTTTTTTCTTCAGACGTTATACTGTACTCGTTGGGTAAATATGGTTAGTCTTCACTGTCGTTAGTCTTCACTAAAATACTGTACCGTTTTGACATTTACCACAAATCTCATCACAGAAGCAGGCATACTATTTCTTAGAGGAAAACAGTTTAAAAACTATAAAAACTTTTAGCTTTTCTCCTCAAATGAAAGCTGAAGGCTCTGCCTCTACTTTCAAATGTCTTACGAACCACAAGTAAACTGTTCTGTGGGGCTAATACAGCACTATTCCTCTTAGACAAGGCCTTGTATGGGTGATGTACACGCTCTCCTTCTAGTCCCTGTCAGGACTCTTGCTGCAGCGTTTTGGATTAGCTGAAGGCTTTTCAGGGAGTTTTCAGGACTTCCTGATAATAATGAAAGAAATAATAGTTTTTTAGCGTCACTCTGAGACAGGATATTTCTAATTTTAGAGATGTTGCACAAATGGAAGAAAGCAGTCTTACATATTTGTTTAATATGTGCGTTGAAGGACATGTCCTGGTCAAAAATGACTCCAAGGTTCCTCACAGCGTTACTGGAGGCCAAGGTAATGCCATCCAGAGTAAGAATCTGGTTAGAGACCATATTTCTAGGCTTTTCAGGGCCGAGTACAATAACCTCAGTTTGATCTGAATTAAGAAGCAGAAAGTTAGCGGCCATCCAGGTCTTTATGTCTTTAAGACATTCCTGCAGTTTAACTCATTGGTGTGTGTTATCTGGCTTCATGGACAGATAGAGCTGGGTGTCATCTGCATAGCAGTGTAAATGTATGCTATGTCTTCTAATGATGCTGCCTAAGGGAAGCATGTATAATGTAAACAGAATTGGTCCTAGCACTGAACCCTGTGGAACTCCATAATTAACCTCAGTGTGTGAAGAGGACTCTCCATTTACATGTACAAATTGGAGTCTATTAGATAGATATGATACAAACCACTGCAGCACAGTACCTGTAATACCTACAGCATGTTCTAATCGCTCTAATAGGATATTATGGTCGACAGTATCGAATGCTGCACTGAGGTCTAGCAGGACAAGCACAGAGATGAGTCCACTGTCAATAAGCATTTAACATTCTTCTGACGAATAGGAAATTAGAACTGAGACTGAGGTTGTGAAAGTGCCTGGCAAAATAAAGAGACAACGCCTTTTGAGCATTCTATGTGAATCATCATCTATGTTGTATATTTGTTTTGGTTTTTTGTTTGTTTCATTTCTTTGACACTGAAATTGTCATGACAACAATGCTGAAAGCAGTTACTGGCATTGAAAAACTTTTTTATTCATGTCATTTTTGTCTGTAATTTTCTTTTTTTGAGAAGGAATCTATCTTTAATTTTTCTATTAGCTAAAATTAACACCTTCTGGTTACCTCTAAAAAACCCACAGTTTAACTGATCATTAGTGATGACACTAAACCTTTAACTGTATGCTTACCAAATCATTTTTGCAGTTGTCCTCTGAAAAACTTATAATTATCAGTACAGGCCCCAGGAGACCGTGAGACAGGTACACAGTACAATATCCACATGTTGTAGACATATGAGCCTTTGGAAAATTACAACCCAGTAAGTCTCAAGGCGGGCCCGCTAAAGGTGATCAGCCCTCGATGTGCTGACAGATACTCAACTGTGGCTTTAGGTCGAATCATATTCAACTCACAGAAAACTCCATATTTATTATTTCATGGTGTCTTCAGTGTTGCAGGTTAATCACTGTTTTGAGGGTGAAACTTCTTGGAGATATCGTTGGAGAATAGGTCGCTTGTTTTTAACATTTTACCTGTTTAACCTTAATATTGGGTACGCAGTGCAGCATGGGGGCAAGACCCGTCACATTTATTAAGTCCTAACAACTTCTTTGTGAGATTAAGCAGAGTTTTGTGTTCACGCTGTGATCAGTTTTCTGTTACTCCCGTCTCACTGCTCTTTGTGGATTCAAGCAAGTGAATTGAACAAGATGTAACCACATGTTACATGAGTTTATGACTGATTTCCGAGAGCATAAAGGTACGACCAGAGGTAACATTTGGATCATCTTGGTCTTTACCTTAAGTATAAATTGATTTCTGTTATCCGTGATGTAACTTAATATTGACCATGAACGCCACAGCCTGCTCCTGCTCCAGTCCCATCACAGTACATCACTGTGCATTTCACCACAGTAATGCAAACTAACCACTTTAGCTTGCAGTAAATGTCCTGTCCTGTCTTTCTTCATCTCTCACTGTTGCACTTTTTTTCCGAGCAGCATTAAACATTGGCTAACAGATACTTTTTGTGCCAAATTGGCTGCATTTGTTGAGATGTTTGAAAAGTTACATTTGAAATTACCTGACGCTCTAAAAAATGTTACTCTGCTTATGTTTGCTCTTATTTTGTAGTACTAGCTAAATGCTGAAATACTCCGACTTCAAATTTATTTATATCTGCACCTCAGGGGGAAGAACAAAGGGTGCATTGGACGTGTAAGCTAGCTGTGGGATGTCATTACTTTCTTATTTACAGAGGATGTATCTCAGTGCTATCACTGGAAGGGCTGCTAAGCTACAGCACATGAAAAATTAATTCAATAGTAGTATGCATTCACCTGCCTATCAGATTTAATTGCTCATTACCTGAATGTGTTGGAAGGCTGTTCCAGATTGTGCCGGTCCACTTTAACCTCTGCTTTTATGGAAATACAACATGCTAACAGTCATATTTTTAAGAAATGCATTCTTCATTATAAGAGAAAGCTAAGGTATTTCTAAATCATTGCTATACTTGAGGCCTTCATCAGCTTCCGTTACTATAAATGAAGAGTCTGAGGTTGAGGTCCAGGGAGGGTACTTGAGAGGGAGAGGACTGTCAGTGCTCACTCTCTACTGCTTATCCAAAGCGTAGTATCTACTGGAGTGAGGTGGATAGCTGCAAGAACAACAAGGACTGGGTCTAGCAGTGAACAGAACTGCCATGGGACAAGGCAGGTAAGTTCTATAGTCAACCAGAGACCAGATGAAAACCAAGCAGAACATATGAAGGCAAACATCAAACAAGAGGAGCCAATTTACCACCATGCTGGAGGAAACAATCCACGGAGAATCACTGCCAGAGCCAGTCCTTAAGACTTGATCGAGCTACAAAGAGTTGGTACAACAAACGTTATCTATCCTCTTTGGCTGAACCAGGACATCATTTTTCAACCAAAAATCGCTTCTGATAAAAACTTGGTGGATTTGATGGATTGTACAAAACCACAGTCGGTCGAGATGCTTCTAACGTGCCTGTCAAAGATGGCTTTGTGTCGTGTTCAATAGAATACCAATAGAAATAGCTGCCACAACGACCCAATGAGGAGCAGGTGAGTTAATCAGCTGATTTTTGACAGGTGGGTAACTAATAAGGATGTGGGAACGTTTGTAAACAAACACGTGTGCAACAACACAGACATGAGGGAGAAAAAGCAAGAAAACAAGAGAAGACCCGGGACCATGAAAGCCTGAATCTTAATCTAAAACTATGAGTCGTATACAACCACATTCTTTTAGCAGTGTGCCCATAAATGTGTCCAATATATAAACACAATATGTCCTGTATATAATCAGTATATATTCATTATATGTAAGCTTCGTCAGAATATTTGGGTCACTATAGATACAATGAAATGAGAAAAGAAAATAAGGAGATGCTACTAAATAATACTGAATAGGTGAAGCTGAACAAACAGGATCATTAATATTTGATTCAACCAGGATGTGCTTTAATAGATGTGAGTGTACACACAGAAGCTCACTGTAAGCAGTTAGTCTTGACTGCAGCTTTTGTCACACGCTGTTCCAACAGCTGTTACAAACTGTTCCAACTTCTGCAATCTGGTAGAAGGTTCCGCATCTTCCGGGCAAGGACAGAGAGACTCAAGAGGAGCTTCTATCCCCAAGCCATCCATGCCCTAAACACACACACCCGCCCTCTCACATCATCTATAACTGACTGAGACAGGACTCTTCCAGACACTAAACCAAGGCACAATGTACATTTCAATTCCTTTAATTTTAAATATGTTTATATTGTCTATCCTGTAAAATAGTCAGATGTCTATTCATATTAACGTACAGAATTCACCTGCTTGCTGCTACTGCTGCACATTCACCCAGTGTGTATACTATATGTATGTATATATATAATGTTCTTCCTCTACACACCCCCAATTTTTTTGCACATGTCGAGGAGCGTGTCAGGCTACATTTCACTGTGTGTTATACTTGTATAACTATGCATGTGACAAATAAAGAACCTTGACCTTGACGCCTAGAGCCCGGTCTTTGAAGTCTTTGACATTTATCCAAACATGCTAACAACATTCTTAAAAGGCCCAAACAATGTGTGCTTGTCAGGTTTGTACGTTCACCACACAAGCTTTAAGTGAATCAAGAGCAGAAACAACCAAACTCCTAATTCTTGACACCCGGCTGTGCTCATCTATAGGTGTAAAACATCCTTTATAAGAAATAAACTTCTGTCAGATGGTGAAATGACAAAGATTAAGAAAATGTTCTTATCAAACAAAAATAAAACAACCAGGTTTGTACATGACCCCACTTGACCTCATGGTGTCAGTGTTGTACCTGACCTACAAAACCAGAACTGCAGTATGTGGTGGAGCAGCTGTTAATAACAGCTGTTATATGAAAGCATTTCTTATAATTATTACTTTAGGCTGCTGACGACAGCTGTACAAATGAAGCTGTACTTTTGATGTTGAGAGGGACTCATTATCATCAGAAGAGAATATTAGAGGTTGATTTGCACACGTGGATCAATGACTTCTCAAGATTGTGCTTTAGTAGATCAGGTGAGTGTCCGCAAGATTTCACCTCATTTTGCAAACCTGCTGCATGTTACCAACATATCACACATCTACTTTTTAGTTTTAGTTAATAAGTTTGCCAAGATTCCTCAATAAATTAGGAAATAGAAGTTTGAAAAAAATCCCCTCTGTCTAAC